GACGCATCTTAGTCCTTTACACTGATGGAAACTGTCAGTGATATTGGTGGGAGGAGAGCGGGGATGCCGTGAGGGGCATGTGTCACGTTGATCTGGACCTACTTGGAACAGCCAAGTGGCACCAGATGAACACCAGGCACTGGCTGGGATGGCTGGCGTTCTAGCACCTGGTGGCTGGCTCGGTGTGGATCAGGGCACTCTATTAAGGCACAGGCTGCTTCAAGAGTCTGATAAAAGCTTTGGATCTTCAAGCGGACGCATCTTAGTCCTTTACACTGATGGAAACTGTCAGTGATATTGGTGGGAGGAGAGCGGAGATGCCGTGAGGGGCATGTGTCACGTTGATCTGGACCTACTTGGAACAGCCAAGTGGCACCAGATGAACATCAGGCACTGGCTGGGATGGCTGGTGTTCTAGCACCTGGTGGCTGGCTCGGTGTGGATCAGGGCACTCTATTAAGGCACAGGCTGCTTCAAGAGTCTGATAAAAGCTTTGGATCTTCAAGACCCCCAGAAAAATACATTTTAATCCACACTATGGATGTGTCTCAGCCTCTCCAGAGGATTCTGAGATAAGGGCTGTAGTAAACCTGCCACTTGCTTGCTGTGTGACACTGGAGAAGTCATTTAACTGTCCTGAGCCTGGGAATCTTAAAGGGATAAAGCAAGAATGCCTGGGGAATTTACAAGTGCAATAATGTCATGCAAAGAAAAACCTGATATAAATGGACAATCTCGGGGCTGTGTTTAGTAGGTGGCTGGAGAACTGATGGTCATAGCAGTTCTTTTTTCTGATCCGATGACACCTCCCCACTAGACGTTCATCTAATATGTATTCTGAGCTATTTTCTTGTTTATTTAACAGCCTTAGTCTAAGAACATCTTCAGGGCACACTCATAGTTTTGTGCTACCAGCAGCTGGCACAAGATCTGGTGAAGAGGAAGCGCCTTCCTCAGCAGATGTGTACAGAATGACTGTTGAGTGAATCGTGGATGGCAGGGCTCTCCAAAGGTTGGCTAGTCCCATACTTAGGAATGGACACTGCCTCTTATTCACTAACAGAACAACTTGCACATTTGCCATCTACAGAAGACACCCAGTGGCAGGTGTAGGGTGAGGCTCCCTGGCCCTGGAATACCTGAGCCCAACCCTGACTCTAACTCACAGGGTAGTCTTCAGCAGGACATTTAGTCTCTGGAAGCCTCTGCTTTTCCCTCCAGGAAAGTGGGCATGATAATGCTATCCCACTGTACCAGCTTTGTGGGAGGACCGTTTGTGATTTTGTACATGGACAAGCTTTGTAAATACTTATGTACTGAAGGAGAAGGGAAGGGACACTGAGCTTATGGATAATGCTATCCCACTGTACCAGCTTTGTGGGAGGACCGTTTGTGATTTTGTACATGGACAGGCTTTGTAAATACTTATGTACTGAAGGAGAAGGGAAGGGACACTGAGCTTATGTTGAGCATTGATAAAAAAAGGGCCACACATTTCTATGGACCACACACTGGGGTGGGTGTTCAAATACAATACCTCATAAGCCCTTGTGAGGAAGGGATGGTTGTTAATCCCATTGTACAGATGAAGAAACTGAGGCTTATAGAGTGGAGGAAACTTTCCTATGGCACACAGAGCAAGTGGTGGAGATGGGGTTTGAGTCCAGATGGGTTCACTACTAGCCCTCCCTCCTTTTCAGCAGGATGCCTGTAAACCCCCTCACCCACATTCCTCAGGTAGTAGCAGAGAACTGATCCTTGTCAGAGATTTGTTTGAGAAATTTAAAGTAGAAGTCAAAGGGGAAGTGGAGGGTTGATTCAGTCAAAGTCAGATCTCAAGGCCCAGTTACACCCTTGGCCTTCTTACTTGTAGTGAAGATAGTCTGGGTCAGCTTGCTCCTCAGGGGCCCATCCAGTGCCTGGATCTTGGCTGTGTAGTGGGTGGATGGGCTCAGGTCTGCTAGGCTGTAGGAGGTAGTTTCTGGACCCACAACGACTTCCTAAGTTCAGAAGAAAGAATATAATAGCTTTTGGTCACAGAAATTCTCAAGACATAGATGATACATTCATTCATTCGTCCATCTATGCATTTATTCATTCAACAAGAATCCACTGAGTTCCCACTTTTTGCCAGGTCCTATGTGTCCTGCTGGATTATCAGAGATGGAGAGAGTGCAGCATACACAAAGGTCCTGGGGCCAGAAGGGGCAAAGCAAGTTAAAATAATATGAAGAGGCAATAACCTACCTCAACTGTACTTGATTTCAGGTGGCAGAGCAGTGCCAAAGGCTACTAGATTGCGAAGGGCCTTAAATGCCATGCTTTGGAATTTGTGCCTTATTGTTTTAGGGAACAGGGAGCCCTGAAAGATTTCTGAACAAGTGAATGACAATGATAAGAACACAGCTATGTCTTAAGAAGCTTAATCTGGTGGCAAGAAGAATTACACAAGGGGCAAAGGGCTTTGAGGCCAGCCAGGTCAATGGTCCCTGAATATAGCTCTTTATCATAGCCCTCTGAGAAGCTTTAAAACAATATGGTGCCTGGACCCCCTCCCAGACTGACTGAATAAAGCCAGAAGTGGGGCCTGGACATGTGTGTATTTAAGAAGCTCCCAGATGATTCTGATGTGCAGTCAGGTTGGGGATCAGGAAATGATTGAAATAGCTCAGTGGGCTTGGCATGAGCAAGGCTGGAGCTGACATAGCGAGACTCTTCTAAAACAGAAATATCCCGGAGAGATGGATGTGTGACCCTCTCTAAGTATGCCTGTGGTTTGTAGCTGGTCTTGCTGTCCAGAGGAGGTGATCAGTTTCAGTTTGCAGGAGATCCTCTTTCTTTTCAAATCCTCTTGCTAGCCTCCAGTTCCTTTCAGCAGATGGCCATGGTGTCTGGGATTGGAATTCAACCTGCACTCCTATTAAAGCAAACCCAACACTGTTCTCTACAACCTTCAAACATGGCCCACTGGGTTTAAGCAGTAATGAGTCAGTGCAGAGATTCCTGGAAGGTTCTCTTGCATCCTGGGAACGAGGAAGGGATGTTATTCTGATTTTTCCAATGGGAGAATTGAGTTTCAGAGAAGCTAAGAGACTTGCTCTCACTCCATAATTTGTTAGTGGCAGAGCATGATCTTGCATCCTGTCTAGAACTCTTTTTTCTTACACCACGTTGATTTTTTTTTTTTTGAGTGAAACATATAAAGCTGGGGGTTGGACATGCAGGAAAATAAACCAGAGCAAGTGCCCATTTAATACCAATGACCCAGTGACCTTTAAGCAGCTCTCAGGTCTGGTTCCTGGGGAAAGGATTAACTGTCAGGTACAAAATGGCTCATTGAATTACTTGGGGATGCAATTACCTCTTAGCTACCTAAGCTGCTGTGCAAAGTTGTTTTCTAGGCACTTAAGGTAGATCAAAATGAGACTCATGATTCAGGTAAACACAGAATTCTAGAATGCCTGACTGGGAGGGGACCTTGGAGATGAGTGAGTCCAATTCACTCTTTTAGCAGATGTGAACACTGACACCCAGAAGATGAAGCACTTGCCTCAGTTTACATAGTGAGCTAGTTCACTGTTATACCAGCTACAGGAAGGGCCACAATAGTCACTAGATATGTGTCACTTCTGGTTAAACATAACAGATTGGATGCACATGCCCGTTTATCTAACTTGCTGCTGAGACCCACTCAAAAGAGAGTAATAGAATATAAAGTATCAACCCACAAAGACAAAGGGAATAGGAGAGGAGACAGCAACAGGCATGTGATGTCAACAGAATCTTGGCTGATGGAAGTTGATGGTGTGAGACCACCGAGGGGGCAGCATGGAGTGAACCAGGGATGACAAACTATAGTGGGCAGAGCCCATCAGAGGCTGGTTGGCAGAGCATGGAGTCCAGCAAGTTCAGGAATGGAATGTGTACAGAAGCAAAGATGCCTTTGAAGGCCAGGGTGGGGTGTGGCTGAACAAAGGTTTCATTTGTCTAAAAGCTTTGTATAAGACAGTTAGATCCCGAGATATCCCCAGCCCCTCTGACAGTCCAGATGGCAGGCTGAGCTTTATTCCCTGGAGAGGTTGAGCCAGAGAGGAGGCTCTGGATTCAAATATGCCAGGCTCAGCTGTCAGGGAGGCCAACGTGCTACACTGGAAACACAAGATGAGGTGATGGTTTGTACACAGTAAGAGTCCAGACTTTATGGTACTGATATTTGGGGGTCTCCCAACAAAATTGCTGGATATTCTCCCAGTCGCTCTACAATGAGCTGCGCAGTTGACAGACACTGCTTGTAAGCTGGAACTCCCAATCAGTATTACCCTTCTCAGCTCAAGTACAGAAAGACAGATCAGGACTAAGAGACATTGGGTGGAAGTCTCCAGCATGAAGAAGGGAGACCCAAACCAAACCAAACCAAACCACAGCAGTGAAACAGAAAAAAGAACCTTGGAAGAAACACTGTGCCGGTTGTAGAATAAAATACCAATAACATATTATTAGAGACAAAGAGAAGAAAATACACAAAACACAAACAAAATGCTAGAAAAAGATGAATGTGCAGAAACTAAGTAAAAGATATTGGAAATATAAAGTATGATAACTGAAATGAAAAATTCAATAACAAATTTGGAAGATAAAGTTTAGAAAATTTCTTTCACTTGTCTGAAGGTCTAAAGTTATTTCAAATTGAAAAGTAAAAGAAAAAGTTTATGGGTAGAAAATATCAATAGTATTAACAATGGATGTAAATGGTATTAACAGTTGATGTCATAAGAACGTGGTGAAATATACGGCAATATATAATGCAGTGATACCATCTGTGAGATAATGTATACAGCAAAGATGCACAAGAACCTCTTGGTCTTTGCTCAATAAAACATTAAAGGGCCAAGAGTCCAGCTCCTAAAATGTCCTCAAGATTTGTAAGCAGTGGTTCTTGCTCTGATCTGGTTAAAATGAGAGAGGCTGAAGAATATGATTTAAAAGGTCTGGCGTGGCATCTAGTCCCTACTGATTTTTTTTTTAGCTCTGCAGCTGCACTGGGGTAGAAGAACAGCATTAGGCAATTCTTCCCTATTGTGAAGATCATGTGACTGTTTCAACCAGAACTGGGGAGTTGTTATCTACTTCAGGTACCTTGACTGTACCGTCCACAGACTCATAGACCAGGAGGTAACCAGTGACTGATGCCCGGGGGGGTCGCCAGCTGAGGAGGGCTGTTTCTGACTGAACCTCAGTAGCAGTCAAGTCTTTTGGAGAATCGAGGTCTGGAGAAGACAAGACAATTAATAGCAAATAAGTCAACAAATGTGGGACAGTGGCTGGGTATCAAGAGGACTGGTTTCAAGTCCTTTCCCTACCACTGACTGATGTGACCTTGGACAAGAACCTTCCCCATCTGCAGGTGAGGAGATTGAACCACATGATCTCCCATCATTGGGTTCATGAGGTCTTCATCAGCCTTGGTTGGATTCGGGGAGAAAGATAGCTGGAAAAAAACTATTATGAACATCATTGCTAACCCCCCCTTTTTTATCAGCACCGCACTCTCCCGAGTGAGCCACGGGCCGGCCTGTAACCCCCCTTTTTTAATAAGAGGACAGATGAACATGCACTTGCCCTGATCAAGAGGACATTTCCTCCATTTCCCTGTTTGCTGAAGTTTGTAAAAAGTTCTCAATGTATAAAAACCCAATAGACATCTAGGAAAACTTGCATGAACAGTCCTCTTCAAAAATATTTCCCCACCCGGACTATGGATCATTAAATGCTGGCTTTAGGGCTAGTTGGGGACTGTTTTTCCACTTAAAAACCCTCCTCTTAAAATCTTTTTCTCGTCCATGGGGAGAACAAGGTCATTTCAGTTCAAGAGGAAATGGTGTGTTTCTTCGTCCTGGTGGAGTGGCACTGGAGAATTTAACTGATGCTGATGTCATCACATTGCAAGGGCCTGACTTAAGAGAGAAGAGTTGGCGAGGGGCTACCGCATAAGATACAGGCTGGGGGGAAGGGGGGCGTCTCAGCAAGGAGAGCTCCCAGCTCTCGGTGTCTCTGTACCTGTCGTGAACTTGGTAGTGATGGTTGCGCTCTTCTGGGGCCCTTTCTCCGCAAAGATTCTCAGTGTATATTCCGTGGCAGGCTCCAGGTCGGCCAGAGCGTACTCCACTGTGTTCCCGGACACTGTGCGTGTAATTTCTGGCACTAAACATGAAATACACATACCAAGGCAGTTACCTCTTGCTGTCTGAGCCATCAGTGGACTCAGCAAACAGCACACACCTCCCTCTAACACAGAAACTTTCAATGACCCTGCACAAATACAGGTTTGATTTCTGAAATGACTCACTCCCCTTTCTCTTTCTTGAGCACTCACCTCATATGTAAAGGATTTACTCATATGGAGACTGGAGTTTTCCAGGCGCCAAATCAGAAGGAAGGGGAACTGGGGGTCAGGAGGGTTTTTTTTTCCACATGGCATACTGGCTGCAACAGCTTTGAGGCTGAGACCCAGGAATGAACCAGAGGGGAGGTGTAGGTCACATTCCCAAGCCTTGGGCTACCCAAGTTTAACTTGTCCTGTTGCTTGCTGTCTCCTCCGTTTCACTTGCGTACACATCCTTTCATAATTTACCAAATGTTGTTAAATTGGGCTGAGGGATCACAAAAATCA